ATAATAATTATAAACAGATTTACATAGGAGAAAATCGGCAATAGTTCCCTCCCAAAGAAATTGTCATCAATATTTTTATGAAGTCAAAAGTTATCAAAAATTAAAGTGCAAAGTTAACATTTTTTATCACTAGAAGTTTTGAGAAGGTGCTAGTTAGAAGTTTAAGGAAAAATCCTTTTGAGTATTTGTTCCTTGATTTAAAAAAAAAAAAAGAAAAAGAAATTAACTTAATCTACGGAGCTTTGGTGGCGTAGTGCCTAAGGCATTTGACTGCTAATCAGAAGGCTGGCAGTTCAAACCCACCAGCCACTCTTTGGAAGAAACACTGGATGGGCAATCTACTTGCACAGAGATACCACCTTGAAAACCCAAGGAGGGGTCACCATGAGTTAAATTGACTTGATGGCAGTGAATTTGGTTTTTATGACTTTGGTATATGTATAACCATTAGCTACCAAAATTCTCCAACAATTTAGAGATTTCTGATAAGATTTTCCTATAGCATGTTTTCTAATTATCTTCAAATTCCAGGTCAAAATAAGTTGCTTTAAATATAAGGTAAAATATAGAATACAGAAAATACTTCATTGTGAACATTCATCTTGAAATTCCAGTGCTTCAGTAGGCAACTCTGTATGTTATATGAAGTTTATTAAGTGGGAATTAACCAAAGTTGTGAAAGAGTTTGTCAATGATATTTGTGCTCAGATGGAGTCTAAAATCATATCCCTAATTCCATGTTTTTGCTCCTCCCAAATTTACTTGAGACGACCTGAGTAGCAGATTATTTTCACAGAACTCCAATCACCATGTTTTGATGGCACCACAGGGGGAGGGGCCATGCTGTCCCTGAAAGCTGCTATTGAAAGATCTACTTTATTTTTAAACATTAATTTCATAAATATTAGCAATCTCCAACTTAAAAAGATGTTCTCCACAAAAGTGTTTGTGAATTGGCTCTCTGGAACTTTCACAACATTTCTCTTCATAGAAACAAACTTATATACGGTGCTTAGGGTTGCTAGCCTGCTCCACAAAGATAGCAGACCCCAGAGAGGAACAAAATTTTGGAAAAAATGCTATTGTAATGCGAGTCATCAAGGTAGCATTAAATCAGATATTGTTATGTTTA